CCAACTGAAATGAAACGTGATGGCGAAATTCATTATTGTATCGGCTGTTTGAATCTTCCCATTAATATTTAATGCTGAAATTGATCAAGCTCTTATTGGCATGTTTGCATTTTGTGTGGATTGCCTAAAGTCAAAAGCATTATAAGCAGAGATGGGTGGTGGCTTGGATTAGAACCCAGGACGCGCGTTTCGTGCTGCTTTGTGACTCGTCAGCTTAATATAGCTGCATCACGCAGTTGAAGTTCACTCCGGGACTCAAGCTCAGTACCGTTCGCTTTAAACACTATGCAATAAAAGACTGATAAATTGCAGTCATAAACATCAATGGGAAGATTGAAACAACCAGTGGTAAAATGAATTAAAATTCACTCCATTGCACAAGCATGTGGCTATCAGTACTCAGTAGCTGAGTAGATAACTTGATGGCTTTTGAAAGGAAAGGTACTGAGGGAGAACATCAACTCGGAAATTTAGATACATCTAATTGACGAGTCTCAAATAGGATGAAACGCGAGTTCTGGACTTTACTACTATCCACCACCCATCTTTACTTAGAAACTGCACATATTCACAGCAAACGGTATTGTGTCCACTCCACTTGATTTTAATCATTAGCATTATAGACTGTAGCGATAGTAGATGATTACATGAAGGATTACAAACTATGGATGTAATTTCATTTTCTGTCTTTATGTAATCTAATGTTCAGTATATATATATATATATATATATATATATATATATATATATATATATATATATATATATATATATATATATATATATATATATATATATGTAAAATCAATAAATTTGTAATAAATACCCATATATAATTGAATCCATACCATACACATATGTATAACAAATATATAGTTGGACAGTATTATACTGGTGGTCGGCAGCCTATGCTCCATTGGAAGTAACAGACGTAAGTAAGTATTACACTCACAAGAAAATTATTCATCCAATTTCTTTGTTATCTACATTACTGTATGATTTAAATATGAAACTGTATTAGAGTTATACTCATATACTTGATATATTTACATTTCAGTTATACCCTTCAATGTGTTCTACCATTGAATATGTTCTTGGAGAAAATTTATATCTTTTTATGGTTTTGGCATGTATTAATTGCTTGTATTAATTTAATTAGTTTTCTGATATGGATTTATCGAATATTTTTACCAAAATCAAGAATGAAATTTATTACTGATTATTTAAAAGTATTAAATTTAATTCCAATTAATAATCAATTAAAAATCGATAATAAAATCAATGAATTTGTGAATTATTATTTAGGTTTAGATGGTTTATTTGTAATACGTTTAATTACATCTAATTGTGGTATCCTATTAGCTAGTGAATTAACAGCAGAATTATGGAAAAGTTATCAAAATTTATTTCTAGATCAACATATAACATCGGAACCAACATATTTTTGTATAAATAAAACAATCAATTCTATAAAGAATCATAAAGATCATTCATCCATCCATATAAAACAATTTCCAATCATTTCAAATAGTTCAATACCTAATACAATAAATCCATATTCATGGACAAAACAATCAAAGAGTAATCATGATGATGATGATCATGATGGTGATGATGTAATTAATTCTATTCATAAAGATTCTATTAAATATAATCATCAATCAATTAATGTGATAAATGATCCTATTTTAAGTAGTTGTTCACCAATTACACCAATTAGTCACATGTCAACTATGAATCATAATAAGCTGAAATCAACTCAAACGCATCGATCACATCTTGGACGATTAGGTAATTCATCAGATGATATTGTTTAAAGAAGAAAAAAAAAACACGGTTATTTTTATTAATTTTCGTTAAAAAATGAAACTTACATAATGTGGGAATGTGTACTATTCACTTGTCAAGTACAATTGAACACAATCAATAATGAATTCATTATGTTGGTTTTCGTGAAAATATAGTGATTCTTCTCCCTCCTTTTTTTTGGTGTCTTATTTTGTGTGGTTGGTTACATGAATTATTGCAGTGAGGATTGGATTGTATTATTGATCTGTTTAGTTTCATTGTTAGTGATCTATTCATTTTTATTTAAACAAAGAATACAATAATCATCTATTCCAAATTAAAATAGAACAGAAGTGTATGAATGTATACAAAAAATATTTTTTATGAAAATCTCTATTAAAATTCATTTGAACATACCTATACTACTGATAACTATACTACTATTAACATTACTATTATTAGCCTCATTTAAAAGAAATGAAACATGTTAGATTTTTATTGTTTAGCTTCTCTATTCAAATATCATAAAGAATATAAAACACTATTATAATAATTATGAACTTATTTTTGAAGTGTTTCATGTCATGATTAGTTTAATATTCAATTAATAATAATACACTGTTGTTGTGTATTTATTTATAATTGTTCTGTGTTACAAGTGATTAATTTTAATGATAATATAGTAGTTGCATTCTTTGAGACAAATGATTTAATCTTGGGGCTTCTCTAGTGACTGATGTCAAGAGTTATTCCCTGAAGTTCTGGTGTGAAGCAGAGATCAGTGGAGTTCAACCATGTCTGTTGTGAGATAGTAATTCCAAGTTATTTGCACGGAACTAATACTTGATGTGTGCTACCGATATCGACAGATATAAGTGGTATGTATCACCATTCGAAAGTGAAATACTGGCAGTAGAAGGTTAAGAAAATCGAAGAAAAGAGAACGAGAATAGTGAATGATTGGTGTGGAAATGAAGGAGCAGTGAAGTCTGAGACGATTAATTGACATTTTGCAAATGAAATATGAACTGTATGGTTCTCAGATTTGACTAAAATATTCTGTAATTTTGTATTCAAATACATTCGATTGTCCCCACTTATGTTGTCGTTCACTACAGTACAGCTTAATCATGAATTCGTCGACAAGAGATTCCTTCAGTAAATTTCTTAAAAAACATATTTAAATGGGAATTATATATCAGATCCCAAACTTAGTGATGAAAATAACCTTTTCAAAGAATAAATCTTTCTTTATTATAACACCAACTAAAGTAAATCATAACAATTTAGAAAAAAGATTGTATCTTATGTTTCCCGACAAAATGAAGTCATACCAAAAAGAAGAAAGATGGGATCAACTTAGATTAAATTAGATAATTGTAAATCATCATCGATAACAAAATAATTTACATTTTTGTGTATGTATCAGTCTATACATACAAATAGTGATTATATACAGTAAAAGATTAGTGAAAACTAAATAGATCAGTAAAATTTAACGGTTTAATTACTTCTTTTTTCTCCTTTTTCCATACATCAATCTAAATACTACATTTAACAAAAGTAGATTAATAAAACAAGATCATAATAATAATAAGAATCCATTGAATAATCCTCTTGTAAATTACTCTTATCATATAATTGGAGGTCGGATGGATTAGAAAAATGAAAATTCTTATTTAACTAATAAAAACCTATAGAGTAGTTAAGAATAATTTTAACTCATAGTAGCAGAACTAATTTAAAGAAACTAGTAAACATCTAGTTGAAATAGACTTTTCAATGTATACACGTATAGATGTACACAAACAAACAGATTTAAACGTGTATACAGGATTACTCTATGAATATTTTCAATACATTAATCTCTTCTTTTAATCAACAAACTGTTAAACATTCAGTTTAAGTTTCTTCATACAAAAATGATTAACTAAGACTTTTTCTTATCTTTTAATCACATATCTATGAACATTTAGTTAGAAATAGGATAGTTGAGTTGTAAAAATGGATTGTTATAAGCTTGAAATCAAATCGTCCAATTATTGTGTTATCTTCACCTAATTTAACTACTCATAAACTTTGATTTAATGATGAATATTCATAGGGATATAGAGTATAAATATTTATCGAAAAAATTTAATCATGAATAACATGTTGGCAGAGTAGCATATGATGTGTTAAATAAATGTATGCTCTTGCATGAGATATCTGATAGGGTCCATAGTTTGATTTTAATGTTCATTAAATTTGAGAGATAAAAACTGGGACACTTAGTATCGTATTTAAAATCGGAATAATTGACTAGTAGTGAACAATTCCTTTCAGAACTGAACTGGATCATGTGTGACCTGATAGATGTTAATCAATTTTCTTGGAACTAGTATATCCCCATTAGCTCCGTGAAGATTGTAGGCATGCCTTGCGGACGAAAGTTAACTAGCACGAGATTTAGGTTTACAGTTTAATGTTGTCTACTTTCAGATCAACCAAAATGAGAATGGATGTTAGTTAAAAACTATTTTTTTGTAATCGAAATGTTTAGTTCATCCATGTGTTGATTTCCCTGAAACTTGAAAGGGAAGACAGATTGGTATATCCCTCACAGGTATTTATAAAAATAAACCATAACGGACTCTGTCATTCAAACGCAATGTATGACCTAGTACATATGCGAAGTACCACGTTAACACAGCGAGATGAAATTATTGGGACAAATCCCAGAGTAGTAGTAGTAGTGAATTTAAGTTAAAAAGTTAAGGCTTGGAGAATGGATGCATTCATAGAAGAAAAAAATATAAGATATTTTTGAGAACTAAGATCCAGGAGAGGACAAAGAATAAATGCAGCTATGCAACCTAATCTATGATTTGTCATCCAACGTCTAAAACGACTGATTTCGATAATCGCACGGACACCAAATAGGTAGTCTGAACTTACTAAACATGATTAAGATCAACAGTCACGTTTCGGCTTTACCGTCCGTAGCGTTCATCTAACCTACACCAGCGAACATAGCGCGTTGGGGTAGAGGGTGGTTAAAGATACAAATAATAAATCCCAACCTCAATCGATAAAGATTCGCTACCCCATCAATGTTCATTCAGTAATTTCATTTATACGTAATGCACCAAACACACAAATCAAGTACTAGAAAACTACGAACATCAGCTGTTTTTAAATGCCTTGCTTCATAGACATAAAGAAGAACAAAATGATTTGCTGTGCAGTATAATCGTCCTTTTTTGTCAGACATTACAAGTTAAGGAAAGTTAGGCGAATGTTTAGAATTCCTACCAATATATCCTCAGACACCAATCGATCAGTTCTGATGAAATTTCGAAGATAAGTGAAGTGTTCAACATATAATGATAAAAAGGAAATCTAAAGCAATATTTTACATTTACAGGAACAACCCATATTGAACCAGATTTAATTGGATACAACATTAACATCAAAAATACTAGATTATGAGTCAATTGAATCTAGACCATCATGGAAAACCTCGATGGCCGTTTCGTTCTGTTGCGGGACTGCTTAGTGACAGTGCGCAACCGCGATCCAGCTCGCGGGATTCGAATCAAGGATCAACTGGTCTCACGCGCGAGCACTTAATCACTAGGCCATTGAACCAGCCGGCATCCAACGGTGTTAACGTAGAACATCAATTAATCCACGAAATTGAGCGACACATCTACCATTGTCATCAGTGGGTTACTATCTCACAACTGACTCGGTTGAACTCCACAGGTCACTGCTTCGCACTAGAACTTCAGGATATACTTCTTGAAACCGGTCACTAGTGAGTATATGGTCGGGGTCTTGGATGAGCACTGCTGAGGAGTTCCATAATAGGACAAAACGGCCATCCAGTGTTTCCAGGTTTTCCATGATGGTCTAACATCAATCGGTTCATGATCTCAATGATTCGAATTGCTAAAATCTCCACAAAACCACTTCTAATACCAGATTATTTTAAGAACTCTAATTAAAATCTTTTTAAGATACATAATCTCATATAAAACAAAACAAAAACAACAACATGAAATGAAAGACAAAAAAATAATTTATTCACAAAGAAAAAAAACATTGAACAATAAAACCAAACAAACAAAACAAAAAGAAAGAAAGAAAGAAAGAAAGAAAGAAAAGACAGTTTCTATACAGTAGAAAATATTTAATGAAAGATATTACATAATAATAATAATTTTATTCTTCAATCCATTTTAATTCATGAATTAATTTCATAAGATATTCTATTGGTAATTTATTGGTGTCGATTCGATGAATAATCCGATAAATCTTCACTGCTTCTAACCACATATTCTCATTACGTAATAATAAACAGAAATTATATCCCATTTTATAATAAATCATTTGATTAGAATGATTTGATTGAAGTAAGTTAATCAATGAAGTGAATAGTTTAGAAAAGAATTTCCTAGAAATGATTGGATCATTACATGTACTACTATTATTCATTAAATTTAAGTAATATTTATAGTGATTACATATGAAATAACAACAAACATATGAATCTAAATAATGAATAATCGAATCATTATCTGTTATATTCGATAAAATAGACAATGTAGAATTGATCAAATCAATATTAGATTGTAATAAACCATTGCTAAGTAGGGCAGCTTGATATGTAATTGGATAAGATGGAAATGATTTATTGAAAGTGTAATACTCTGATAATCGTTTCAGTCCAGCTTTAGTAAATTCAATTGGTGGAATACAAAATTTTGTCCATTGATATATGAATAATTCAGAGTTGAATAATTCATTGTTCATAAAAATTATACCAGACTTTTCACAATATTGATACCATAGTATCCATAAATTTTGGAGAAAATCACATTTATCTGGTAGTATGTCTAAACACAAGGAAATAAAAGGTAAGTAAACAGTATGTTATCTATGTTATACAACAGGAGAACTTTAAATACTTATCATTGTGTTGCAATCCTAAATGCTGTGGAACTCTTAAAAATGCCCTAGTACGGTCGAGAGTGGAGATAGTCACGTGTATACACTCACTGCCAGGAAAGCCCTACTCACTGATTTCTCGCACCATGGGTGTTGTTTACGAAATTTAGATGTCTGACGCTTTAAGCAGGTTGATGTATATGGGAAACCCACTGGGAGGAGTTGGAAAATCCCGATAAAGCGAATAGGAAGCATCATTTACTGAACAATAAAATTAGTACGGATATCTAGGACTTAGACAGCTGAAAGGTAGGTGATAACTTATGATCAGATGTGTATAATCGTATCATTGCATTAAAACAAGGATAATACATCTAGTCATGTAAACAGTTCCTAATAATAACAACTAATAACGAATAAAATCAAATGATGTTGGCAGTAAATACTTCAAATAGCGTGTGCCGAATCGATGTTATATTTGCGAATAGCTTCAATATATCAGAGATCTCAGTAAAACTACAATCAATATCTGAAAAAACCCCATTTAAATCAGATGAAAAAGTAACATCTAGGTAACATGGTTTAGTGGCTTATTTATTTTCCATATTGAATACAGGACTATGGATCTCGAACCTATGGTACCTAAATCCAAAATCGAATGAAGATCAGGTTTTAACCTAAAGATGACAATCTAACACATTTTTCATCGGTTAGTTGTGAAGTTCAGATTATTATACTGGAAAACATGCTTAGCGGTTACTTTATATGGAAGTGAGTGTTTTAATTATTCAAAACTGATATAATAATTGTGGAATAATTGAAATTTTCAATTTTCAATGAACGTATTTAAAGATGCCTATAATGACAATTTAACCTCCACAAAGAGCTAAAAGAATACAACATCACTAAAAGCATCCAATTTAGTCATAACTCTTCATCATTCATTCACAAGAACATGTAATAGAGAAGTGTTGAAAATTTTCGACCATTAAAATGACCATTCAATGGTGGTCTAACATCAGCCGGTTCAATCAAAAACTTAATAATCTCCACAACCCCATACTAATAATTACCATGTGCTCACTAGTGACTAGCTTTGTGAGGGAATTCCCGAAGTTCTAGTGAGAAGCCGTGAACAATGCAGCTAAAGCGTGTCAGGTAGAGATAGGTATCTACCTCAGTACAATAGAAGATGGCCGCGGAATTGGTTGACGTTAGACATTATCACCGTTGGGTGCCGCTCCGTTCGCTCTCGAAACCAAAAGCCCAGAGTTCGAATCCCGCGAGCGGCATCGTAGATGTGCACTGCTAAGGAGTCTCACCATAAGACAAATTGCCGTTCAGTACTTCCAGATTTTCAATGGTGATCTAACATCAATCGGTTCATAATCTCAATAGAAAACAAACAAATTGAAATTACCGTCGATTATGATCAGATCAATTAACTCAATAATTGATCTCAATAGTTCTACATTTTCCTTAATCATAGTAAATGAATCCTCCATGAAATTGTTCCTCAAGTGATGATGATGATCATCATCATCACTATTAATCATCATTAAATTTTGTTCAAATAACTGTATTATACTATTTTGAAATTGATTTACATCATTTTCAATGGATAATAATGAAAGTTGACTATTGAATTCTGATAATTGTGAATTATTAGAAGAATTTTGTAAATAATTTAATGTTTTCATGAATATTGTAAGTGTATTAGTAAAATGTAATTCATCCCAATCATTAATAGGATTAGAATAAGATTTTAATAAATTTTTACCAAATAAACGACGTATAGTTGTATTTGATAAAAGACAAGTTAAAAGTTCTATAGAATCAATTCGATATGGATCATTCAATGGATCATGATCATGATCAGGATCATCATCATCATCATCATCATCATTTTTGATAAATAAATTAAGAAAATCATTAAGATGTGGATAAATTAAGTGAACTTGTGAATTAGTAAACATTTGTGTTGATATTTGTTCCTGTTGTTGTTGTTGTTGATTTATGTTAATTTGTGAGAAATATTCAAAGTTTAATGTAAATATTGATGATAATAATGAGAAACAAATAGATAAGTTTTCTTGTAGAATATTTAACCAAATCTGTAGAAGAAGAAGAAGAAGAAGAAAAAGAAGAATCGATTGAAAAATTATTCCATTTCAATTTATACTTTAGTTATTTATTTGAATATATAAATATTAGTATAGAGCGGCCTCGAAAATATATATGTGCCATACAAGTCACTTGATTTGTGTGTAGGCTGTGATACTGCTCGGATACCCAGACCGAAGCAGGTGGTTTTCAGAGGGGGCTACTCCCTGAGCCTTCGACCTAAAGGTCTGACCCACAAGGCAATGGAGCAACGTAAGGACATGCGGTCCCATGGTAGCCGGTAATTAACAATAGATTCATACACTACTTGTTCCCTCAGGATCTTAGAGCCCATGTACACCATTGGTTTGGATTCATAGTTTTCCAACTCCCCTAGTTGTAACCTCCGTGTCCATCAGCCCAGTTTAAGCGACGGATATTTACTTTTCGTCCTCTCAATTTCGTAAACAACACCTGTGGTGCGATAAGTCAGTGAGTAGGACTTTCCTGACAGTGGCTGTATAAGCGTGGTCATGTGAGATCATTTGGAGAGGGAGAGCTGACTCTCCCCACCCTCAGCCGTACCAAGGCATTTGGGGACACCTTACATATAAGAGAACATAACTTTAATTCGAACGAAAACAATTTATAAATCAAAGTAATCACATCCTATTACAAGTATAATTGACTATGAGGGAATAAAGAAACCAAACAGTAGCTGTATTTGATAGATAACATTTTATTTTTCTACCTTAAAACGTGAATCACAGTGAGCTAGATTTCCTTCTATAAGGTTATGACGATGGCTACGAGTAGGATATATCATATGCGTTAAATTTTATTTGAAAATTGTTGAACGGATGAGGTTGTATCCCAGTATTGTTGTTCAAATAGGAACTAGAAACCAACGTATTTTACTTTAAAAGAATTTGTAACTAATAAGTATTACTGAAGCGCACATGTGACGACAGAGACGGACCAATTGTAGTCTTTAACATCAACAACGGGAAAATAAAAACCTTTACAAATAGATCTTCAGTTACCATTTACATGAGAGAAGTGAACAAATAGACCGAGAACTTGAATAGCTTAAAGGTGTCCGACTGAATGCGAAACTACGCACTCAACAACTAAGTGATATGACAGTATATATGGTAGTGCAGCAGATGAATTCACTGTTTATCTCCCTCTTAGGTTTTTAGCTTCAATATTATTGCATACTTTTTCCCTCTACTTCATAATTTCTTTCCGAACTAGATTCTCAGATGTTCAGTGTACTTCACTAGCTTTGATACTAAAATGAATGACAAAGTTGTAATATATCTCATATGACATCACCCTATTCAGGACTCGTTATCTGGGTGTAACTGGATCCAAGAGTTAATGTTCACTCCGGGACATGAAACCAGTACCGCTTATTTCAAATGCCATTCACAGATACACTCATCTAACGAGTTCAAAATAGGAAGAAAAGCACATCCTAGATTCCATTGCTAGATAACATTCATCGCTTGTGACATACTGGGAATACTGAGTCAATCCGCACCATGGGACATGGCTCAGAATCGATCACAATGGTGTAGGTGTATACACTTTATCTTCTCATAATTATAAGATAAAAATCGTTTCATATCTTTCTTTCTGTACTAAATGCATACATAAAATCTTTCTTTTATCTAATAAACCATTTGGTTAACTCCTTCTATGAATTCAGTGTTCGTCTTGTCGTGCTAATGAGATATGACAACTTGAACCGATACATAAATGTGTCTGGTCCTACATTGTAACTGACTGACCAGATGCACATCTGCTAACAGAGAGACTGATCAATTGTAATCCTCAATAATATCAAACAAGGAAATCTAAACAAACAATACAAAAGGAATAATGATAATATAACAATAATGCTTATTCTTAATAATAACAAATATATACATCTATATAGAAGACATACTTCATTTTCAATATTTAACGTTTTCAAACAATGTGGTAATAAACAGCCAAGAATTTGTAATTTTGCAGCAATATTTAAACAAACCGAATGAGATGACATATCATTGTTACTATGTTGATGTATACTATTCAAAGGATTATTAATGATGGTAAAGATAAACTCTTTAAAGAAATTAACTTTAGCTAATTGATTAGTTGGTTTTATACTAATTAATTTAGAATAGAATTCTTTAGGTAATAAGAATTTATTAATAAAATTCTTATTTAGATCTATTTCATTGAAATCATCTTGATCATTGTGAATGGTATTCTCTTGAGGGAATAAAATATTATTTAATAAATATAAAATTTGATTGAAATTTAATACATAATCATTGATCATCTTTTCAGTAGTAGGTTGATTTAATCTAAATAAATTGTAATAAAGAAAAAGAATAGTAAGTCATTCGGTAATAACAATAATAGTAATAATGATATGCTGTGAGTTAACAACAAAAAAAAACGGATGACCAGAAGAGACTAGTTAAAATACAAGCCTATAATTGAATACAAAACAAGTATCACTTTCTCATAGATGTATATATATATGGTGACAAAACAAGAGCAGTGTTTCTACAATTGGAAATTATATAGAACTCAAAATAACTGTTTGTTAGCCAACATCATAATTAGAAATTTCAATATAAATGTCAAAACAGTTTCATTGTATGAAATCGGAAACTTGAAGAACTACTACAACCATCATCAAAAAGTATAAGTATTTATAAACAACTATCTACATAGGATACTCAATATCCGTTGACCGGATACCATGAGCAACAACCTGTTATGGTAGAAAAAAAACAAAAAAAACGCTGGAGGTGGATGGGACACACATTGAGAAAATCATCAAACTGCATCATGAGGCAAGCTCTAGCTTGAAATTCTGAAGGAAGAAATAATGAGGCACGCCAAAGAACACGATGCAGCCGAAAATTGGAAGGCAGGCATCAAAAGAATAAATAGCACTTAGAAACAGCTGGAAAGAAGGGTTGGACGCGAAATCCCAGATCAACTGCTGAGGCTGTAAACCTTCACCAACTAAGGTGGTTCGAACATGTATTACTTATCCCGAACCACTGCCTACATCAACGTGTGATGTTAATTCATATGGGGTAAAACTGGTTATAGTGTTGCAAATGCTCTCAAAATCTATCTTCTTCCAAGTCGTAAGTTCCAATGTTCCTTTGCATATATACTTTCCATTCATTCCATCTTCTTGAAACATATCCTCAATGTTTAGCCTCGATCATTATCACAGCCACTACCACTATTTCGACTCAATTGCTAGTCATTATGTTACTTTCATTTCATTCTGCTAATATGGTATACCTGCCTGAGCTTATACACACTTGTGCCAGGTTCTACGTCTATTAAAACCTAATGCCTATATCTATTCCAGTCTAATTTAAACTCAGTAGAACAATGGGTAAATTATGTGTACAGAGAATTAGCAACCAGAACAAAGATCACGCATTAATCGTTTACTATTTGCAAACATTTAAGATTTCAATCAGCCATCCACAGCAGATGACTTGAGATCAACGTGAATCAGTTCTTCAAGATGCTATACTTCACGTTATCAAAGTAGCAAGAAATTCACATGATCAGGATAAAATAATTGGAAATATTAGTAATACCAATGACTGATCTTTAATCACATGATCACCATCTAAGATCATCGACATTATAATAGCAGAAAAATTCGAAAAACCTACCTAAAGTGTATCGTTACGTTATGAAATTCACTGCAGAAGAGTATGTAATAGATTATTTAACTTCCTATGCAATGCATCCTAGTTGTTTGGACCTTGTGAAAATCATGAACAATGAGTATATATACACAGATAAAGAGAATCTACTCAGCAACATCTAAATGTTATCATAAAAAACCACTGCTGATACTTATATGGAAATAACAAATGTTTGATTGTTATGTAAAATAAGCACCAAAACCGTCTGTACGTACGTTCATAACTATCTCGTGAAATGATTCTTTTGTACATTTAAATATTAAAATTTTAGTTCACAGTGAAAGCTTGAGACAAAGGCCAAGACACAAAGTGTGATATTAATTACTAATATTATATTTGGTCAAGCTAAAACGTTAACAATGGAATGATGAAAAAGAAAATTTTAAACTAAGTAGTATACTAACAACTTCGTTTAGGAAATTAGTTAAACGATAAGAAATACGTTGGTTTGTGATCACAATATTATTTAACAGTCTCCAAAAACCCCTTTATCATGTAGACACTAGTGACTAATTTCGAAAGGTAATTCCCAGAGATCTAGCGAGAAGCCGTAACTAGTGGAGTTCAACCGCGTTAAGCGGTTACCAACCAACGACAATAGAAGATGGTTCTCGAATCTGACAAATTGACTAAAGGTAGACACATATAACATTTGATGCCGGTTCAGTGGTCTAGAGGTCAAGCGCTCGCTGCAAAACCTAGGGATCCTGGGTTCATTCTATGGTGGAATCGTAGATAAACACAGTTGATGAATCCCATACAAAGACAGAACACATGCTGAGAGAATACTGGTTTCCAATGCTTATCTAACTTAGGTTGGTTCGTGATCTTAATAAAATTTAACAATCTCGACAAACCCCTGTAATAAAGACAAATAAAATGGCATTAAAACAGTACTAACCTTGAAACAAAAGAATGTGCCGATTTCAAAACCAAACGACGTTGACTAATAGATAAATTTTCTGAAAATGTACTATCATATAACAACTCATCCAACCACTTTACAAAACGTGAAACATCATTTGAAGTGTTACCTGGAGCGATCAATTCAAATAATTTTAATAAATCAGACATATTTTTGAAAGATTCAAATAATGTCGAGTCATAAAACACTCTTAAACCAAATATTGCATAAATATCACCAACTTGTAGAGATGTGATCTCATTACTGTTATCATCAGTTTGTATTTGTTCAACAATTTTCGCTACAACATTTGCATCAGATTTAGTTTGGATAAAGTTAAAAAGTGGATGATTATGCAATTCAGAAGATTGATGAAGAGAATTGAGGAATTCAGGATAATTTAAACAATTGAAAAATGTATCATCAACGTTTAATTTTGATAAAATATCCAATATCTTTCGATGTAATTGTATTTTAACACCATCAACTACCTGTAAATCACACTCATTAGGTAATACATCAAAAAATAATTTTATTTGTGAAAGTTGTATTAGAAATGGATAAATAGTTTGTTGGATACGATGAATTAAAATTTCCATTCCATTTGGATATATTAAAATCCATTGAATAATATGATTTATCATTTTTTTAATTTTATCATTAGTATAATCTTCATCACGGAATAAATATTCAAGACGACAAAATATACCTTCAATTTGTGAAAGATTATAACATGAACATAATCGTAGACCAAGTGAAAAATTCGTTGAACATAATCCATATATAGTATCTTCTCGATAGTTTTGATCATTATGAAAACGTACAAAATCAATACTTGGAAATTTACTAACAAGACGATGAATAAGACTTTCTCTTAAAACAATTGACAATGTATGAATAAGTTGTTTATGAAGTTGATTAAATTCTTGACTAAATTCATTAGATGTAATAAAAGAACAATATTTTGAACATAAATATTTACCTGATGGAAAACATCCACATGGAAGACAATATTCAATAGTTTTATATTCATAAACTGATATTAAAATATAACATAATAGAACTAATACAATACGACATGTACTATCGAAATTCTCAGAAATACTAGATGATTCCATAAATGGTAATAGAACAGAACTAACTTGATTTATATAATTCAAATAGGATATTGAATTAGATGAATAAAATCGACAACATTTTGAACCAATAGCTGAATAACTAATTGCTAAACGTGTATCACGATTCATTACTTCTAAAAATGTTTTACACCAAATAATATTAGGATTACAATCATCATCATCATGATCATGATCATTAAATATATTGATTTGATTCAATTTAGCCCAATGAATAAGAAAAGCAAACCATAGACGTTGTTCATTTAAACCATAATTAGGATAATTAATTGGTTCCAGTTCATCGAATATATTTGATCTTAATTCAGTGAATAGATCATTTGTTAATTCTGAATAATATGGTGGTAAACATAATGTAATACCTTTATCGTGTTTATTATTATTATGATTCTCAGTTTCTAATTGATGATATTCCGATGATATTAATTTAACCAGTTGTTTATACATATTACGAGATAACTTTTTAATATTACTACCTTCTTTTTTATTATTATTTAACATAATAATCGATAATGTAATCCATTCAAGACGTAGTGTACATAATCCAATAAAATTACATAAATCATAGAAATATTCTAATGACTTACAATATGCTAATGCATATCTAGCTAAACGTAAACGATAACGTTCAACATTCCATAATTCCATTATATCTATATTCATATTAGTGAAATTATATTTTGAACGTTCAATATTATATAATGCATGTAAATATGTCCATGAATATAATTTATTATCAAATTTCTCAATAGTATTATTATTACTACTATTATTAATATGAGTAGTATAATGATGATGATTAAAAATATCTGATGGATCATATAATTCTGATTCATAACCAGCCCAATTAGCACATTCATGCCAACATAATTCATTACGTAATTCAATTAAATCATTTAAATAATTATAAGTTAAATGTAATAAATATACATTAGGATAATTATCATTTGTATTTAATTTGATATAATGATACATGGAATGAACAAAACATCTTTTTACTTGTTCAATGTTTATTAAGAAACTATTAGCTATATTATGTAATAATATTGAATTAAATAAATTTTTTAAATAATTATTATCATAATTAGTTTTAGTATCTATGGAAAATAATTTAATTAATTTATTGAATGCATCAATCAATAAATCAATACGTTTATTACATAATTCATTCGATTGATTATTATCATTATTATTAGTGGTGGTGGTAGTAGTAGTAGTACACCATAAATATCTTAATTTATATGGTAAATAAGATGATGATATTATTGATGGTGATAATATTTTATGAATTGTTCCGAGAAATGTTGATGCATCTAATAAACATTTTTCTATATGAAATTCTAATAACAATGATTGATTCCAATTCATTTGATTATGTAATGAGTCAATAATGGATAAACAATGACGTGCTAAACGTTCATTAGGATCCATAATTCTATTAGAATAGACATTTGATGATGATGATGTTTGAGAATCAGTAAATACCACTTTTAAATCGGATCTTATTGGTACAGATGTATTCACATAAGTACGAATAGCATTTAATAAACAAATTCTCCATGTATTTAATGCATTTTCAGATAATTCAATAGTTTTTTGTAAATTTATACGTGATTCATTGAAGTTTAAACAGAAATTTCTTGATAATTCAAGAAAATATTCATTACCTGAAGCGAATAATGTATATTGTAAACCAATTTCTAACCATGATTCAGATGGACAATGATGAAATGCTTTTGACAGAATTTTGTAGAATTGACAAAAAGTATCACTAAAACGATTTAAAAAGAAAATGTTGACGAATTTATTTCAATTTCACAATAAAACTAATTCTTTTTTTGAGTGATATTCATAATGAAATGGTTGCATTTGGACTGTTATTGCTCGTTTTAGAGTGAGTGATTCCAAATAGCTTTATAATAAGACAATTCTCTTCCTCCAAATGTAGTGTTGTTCCATGGCTGGCGTGCGTCAGCACCTGAACTAATGAAAGAGAGTGAAGTAGTTTAGCTCATCAATCGCTTCACTTATCTAAACAGTCTCAGCAGTCCTCATATTCCAGTGCCAAAAAAAAACCTCGACACGGGTAGAGAAGGATCAAGTGGATTTTGCAAACTTGCATCATTTGTGGTGTAATCAAGACACGTTTCTGTCAACCAAAGGACCAGTTCACTCCACATCACTTATCTCTGTTCTACTTCATTCACATGAAACACCCATCGAAAATAGAAAATATCTGTAAATTACTAGTATTCGATCATCGGAGTACTCGAAGCCTAATTCGTGTATTTCTGATCATCGAGTAAGCAATCCTTACGTAAGGAATATTATACTCGTTAATGATGACTGATCGATTGATGAGGTTGTAAATCTCCATCAACTGTGGTCTTTTAGACATGTGTTACCTATGCCGAACCAACACCTACCTCGGTAGACTATGTTGTCCGATGCGGGAGTATGCCGGAACAATGCTACGTTCAGCCAAACCAAAATATGGCATCAGTCCATGGAGTCATTGACTATTCGATTTAGCCATGTTGATAGGTGCAGACTACCTGGTTAGTGTTCGCATGATTATCGTAATCATTAGTTAGGGAGTTTGAACGACATGACTTGGATTTGTTTGGAATGGTGTATGTGCACACATTCTTTGTCTTGCCACAAATTTTGAGCTTCTGATTTTCTCATAACCTTTTGTTTTCATTTTACCAATTTAAATTTTTTTTCTAAATCACATATTCGAGGCGTAATTTTTTCTGTTATCACTGTTACTGTTACTATTCTGGGATATAGCCTGACAGTTTCATCTGTCTGTGATGATGAGATACGGGGACTTCAACTGATTCACATACGTACCAGGTCCTACGTTGCAACTTAGTAATTGAGGTATAATACATTACATTTTGTTTTAGAGCAACTTCTCATTGTACCATCAAAATATTTACAAATAGTTTTAAGGAATATTTTAAAATCTGGGCTAACACCTATACAAACTACACTTGGTCTTATGCGAAAATAAAGATTTCATATCGAATATATAAACAAAAAAGTTCACTATTACAGTCGATGTTCTTGGTTAATTTCCAATATATATTACCCCTAGCTCATTTTAAGCCTAAATGCCCTGGTACGGCCGAGAGTGGGGAAAGTCCGCTCTCCCTCTCGAAAAGCTCTCACATGGCTACGCGTATATAGCCTCTGTCAGGGAAGTCCTACTCACTGCCTTCTTGTGGCATTATTGTTGTTTACGAAATTGAGAGGACGAAAAGCGGATGTCCGTCTCTTTAATCGGATTCAAAACCAATGGTGCACATGGACTCCAGTATCCTGAAGGAACAAATGGCGTATGAACCAATTGTTGGTCACCGGCTTCCATGGGACTGCATCTCCTTACGATGCCCCACTGCCTTGTGGATCAGACCTTCAGGTCGAAGGCTCAGGGTGTGGCCCCTAAGAAAACCACCTGCTTCGGTTTGGGCACCCGGGCAGTATCACAGCCCTCACACGTATCGAATGAGGTTTGTGTGGCGCATATGTATTTCGTGCCTCTTTGTACCATTATCTATGTGTTGAAATAAAATAAATAAATAAAAATAGCTTTCCACACACCAACTACTATTTCATGTCGAGATAGGAGGGGGTGCTTAACGAATCTCTTAGCCACTTCAGTCATCAAAATCTCCAAATACGACTAAATCATCGTTAGCAAATGTTAATTATCATTTTTAGCATTCTATACCATTGTTAAGCATTCGTGTGAATTGGCTAATAAATGGTGAAATATGAGGAAAAAAAGCAATAATAATAATTATTATTCGTTGATTACTTGAGTTTCTTTATAGTTGATTCAGAAATCTGTGATCGTTGTATACGTTTATGATTACTATCATGAATTAATTCATCAGAGATATTATCTTTATATTCATATGTCATAGCTAATCGACTGAATATTTGCATCCAATTATTTAATAGATGACAAAAATATTTTGCATCTTGACTACATCGATAAAATGATCCAATAGAATTGAAAGGTAATTGAATTGATGAACCAATACATTTTTCAATGGATTGTATCAATGATTGAAATTCAATGAAAGCTAGAATAAATTGATTTATCAATTGAATACTTTCTAATAAGTTTTTATAATCTATTTCATTAGTAAATTGTAAAATAATCATTTTATAATCTTGACAATAAATAAGCATTGATTGAATAAGTTGATTAGCAGTATTTAAGTATGTTGATAATGATACAATCGGTTCTTGATTGAATAGTTGATCAGCTTTATGATCCAGTTCATATTCTTTCAAAACATAAACTAATCCATTTAATAGTCGATATGCTAAAATGTAATGAAGAAGAATATAGAAAATTATACTATTTTAGATTACATACAGTTAAAAAGGACAATATGAATGGGCGGCTATTTTAGGACGTCACTCTCTGAGCTTTTGGCAGTAGACCACCGTTAGGTAAGATGCTGATTGAAGATAGTCTATAGAAAACCTTGAACCTAGATTTTGTGCAATTTGACACTTGTCAGCAAGTTAATCTTAAGAAGGCCTTATATCTCAGTATAGTGGAAGTGGTGCTGAGTCATTTGGTCTCACTGCAACTTGGTCGATAGAATTTGATTAGCACTAAGAACCCGATATATATAACATTGATCCCTATTCAGTGTCCAATCAATTGTAAAATCGACGTCACGATATGCGATTCTACAGTACATGGCAAACAAAACAGGCACATAGGCCAATTATTCTCTCAGGATCCTGGTACCTATGTACATCATTGGTTTAGTATCCGCCAGCCAGATTAAAGCAAAAAATTTCGCTTTCCGTTTTTTCTTTCATTTTCATAAAAAGCCCCTATTCTGTATAAGGGCAGTAAAGAGAATTTTTCTGACAAAGGCTACATATATACTCGGTTGCACGTGAGCATTTTGAGACAAAGAGCCGACTGTCCTCCAAACGAGCCATGGTATTTCAGGAGAATATTGTTCAAAAACAGAATGAATTAGAGGAGTGGAAAGCATGCAATAATGTTGGAGCTGAAGACTTTTGAAGGAAGATAAGAAGTAAATGAATCCGCTCTCAATTTTGAACGGCGCGCCTAATAACAGTAGACCGCATATATATATATATATATATATATATATATATATATATATATATATGCGGTCTATTGTTATTAGGCGCGTCGTTCAAAATTGATACTGATGTACAAACCTTCTAGGGACATGCCCTGGACCAGCTACTAAGCGAGAAGACTGAGGGTAGGGAAAGTAATAATTTGGACCAAACCGATTCACATACATCAACTCATTAATACATGTTGTCCCTAGAATATAAACTACTTTTTGACCAATCATATGCACGTGTTAACAGGAGATCTTCCATTAGCACGACGTGACCTTCTCAGTTGGCGAATTTTGATTGGCCTATTGAATCATTTACAATGGAGATCAGGATGTAAATTTTATGACAAAATGCAGAACTTCGATTTCTATTATAAAAAAAGTCGATCACATATTACGTAACGTGCCATACACTTATATGGTATATAAAATACACTCACGGTTTAAAATAGTTAGATAATCATTAACATGAGAATCATTATTCAAAACGACTGCATCAGTTAGATTTATTGACAAATAATCACTAAAATCAGTTAAAGATCCCAATTTAACTGACTCCAAAAGTTTGAGGTGACCAGTTAAACCTATGTAATTTGCCGCATACAAAAGACAATGATTAATTAATTGTTGATAATCAGATGGAGAACATTTCTCAGCTAAATGTGGTAATAACTGATAAACAACAAATGAGACTAATTTATCCGAATTAACAGATGATGATGATGATGATGATGTATTATGTAGATTATCCGAGTTGATAAGATTCAAACTAATTCGAAGTAGAAGAGTTAAAATGAATTTAGAATCGAAATGTTGGAAATTTTTCATTTTCAACTGAAATGCTCTGATACATTCGTTTGTACTGCCATTATTATTATTATTATTATTATTATTATTATTATTATTATTATTATTATTACATTCTTGAGGTATTATATTTGTAAAATCATTAGAAATTTGTAGTGTTGTAGTTGGAGATATATTTTCATTGTAGATAATCTAAATTTTAAAGAAAAAGTAAAATAAAATTTAACATTAGAGATAACGTTGGAAAGATTAAATTTACAATCATAAAAGAGTAATTTCCACCCTGGATACCATATTTTCAAAAGTTTGGTAACGAGAATTTTGACATCATTTCGTGTAAAATAGGAGTATTTGATTTTGTTTTGAACCAAAGAGTTAGTGAACACCTCCCTTCGTGGTTAGGAAAAGGTAATGTCGAGACAATACGCAGCTCGGTTCTATCCCACTTGACCGATCATGTAGTGAACAGAAACAAGTCATTTATCGTATTCCTACTAGTTTTCCCTAAGGTGTTCGATCTCGTCTCTTACATATGGCAGGAATTCTTTTCCATTATCATTGACTCATAAACTACTTTGATTGGTTTAATAATTTCGTATATGCATATATGCATATATTATAGTACGGCCGAAAGTGGGTAGTGTCCGCTCTCCCTCTTGAAATGCTCTCACATGGCCACGCGTATATAGCCTCTGCCAGGGAAGTCCTACTCACTGCCTTCTCGCACCACGAGTGTTGTTTACGAAAACGAGAGGACGAAAAGCGAATGTCCGTCGCTTTAACCGGGTTGGTAGACATGGAGAGTCCACCTAGGGGAGTTGGAAAACCCTGATTCCAAACTAATGGTGTACATGGGCTCCAGTATCCTGAAGGAACAAATGGCGTATGAACCAATCGTTGGTCACTGGCTACCATTGGACTGCATCTCCTTACGATGCTCCACTGCCTTGCGGATCAGACCTTCAGGTCGAAGGCTACGGGTGTGGCCCCCTAAGAAAACCAACTGCTTCGGTTTGGGCACCCGGGCAGTATCACAGCCCTCACACATATCGAATGAGATTTGCATGACGCATATGTATTTCGTGCCTCCTTGTACCAATATCTATGTGTTAAAATAAATAAGTATATTACAGTAAAGCCTGATGAGGATCTAATCGAAAACAATATTGTCCGCTTATATATGTTGTTCTAGATCTTGTTTTTATCAGAGACTATTGATATGCCTAAGGAATAAAGCAAAATTTCATTCTCTTAATTTTGGAGGTTATACTACTGTTAGTTTTATACAAATCATGTCGCAAACAAACGACAAACTCTAATTAATACTAGATGATGTTCTTGCCTTGTTAGGGATAAGATTAAATTAATGTCACGATGAAATATGTTCACAAATTGGTCAGTTATCAAAATTATATTCTGATTTTCAATCTGACTTTACAGGTATCTCTAGACAGTCGTAATAATATTAATACATTAATGATATCAATGAACTACTCTCCAACAACTTGTTTCTTCAATGAATATTAATTTTTAATGAAGCATAGAGCAGAATAACTTTGTGAATATTTTTGAAGCAGGGTATAACAACAGCATGACCAATATTTCCCGGAATAAAACACAAAGGAAGCAACGAAATAACACTTTTTTTCAGATTTTGTATACATGTGGAAGTGGTATTACTATTGTTATGTGAATGTCCCAGCAACCAATTCAATTAGATTTATGATCCATATAGTTAGAGTAGGCTGGAAAAAAGTAGGCTTTAAGTAAAACAGAATATCTGAGTTGGGAATTATAACGCGCGGTGTACACATCACGAACAACCTTTAGAACCGGGAATGCTCAACAGATTATTTCGTCCTGGTATGGGACTATTTACCAGTGTATGTAAACGACCTCACCACTGAGGATCGAACGTACAACTCTCGGTCTCACAAGGAGCGTTTAATCTTTAGACCATTGAGTCTGCATCTAAAGATTTATGTGTTTAACTTTTATCAATTCGCGATACTGTGCAATCATCTTTAAATGCAACACACACACACATATACTGGTCATGGTTTCGCACTAGAGCTACAGGCATTAGTGAGAACATGATTTTTAATTAGTAACAAGGTTTATAGCTATCACAATAAAATAATAAGAGAATAATAATGATACTTACTTGTGCTAATTCAATAAAATCTCGATGAACTTTTCTCAATGATTTTAAACATACTTCTACTTCATGATCAATAGGATTTCCTTTTAAAATTTCTTCACACATAGATAAACCCATAGAAATTAAATTTAATGCATAATTAGTTAAACCAGACCGTGTATCAATTTGTATAGCTCGTTCAATGAACCAAGAAGAGAAAATTTTCACCAATTTCAATGGATTATTTAAAATTTCTACATTCAGATATAATGAAATGGAAAAATTACATTGTACACTCTTCATTATCATCATCTCATTATGATGATCATTTTGTATATCAATAATAGATTCGGTTTGATTGTTTTGTGAAATGGATTGTAAATGAAATAGTTTATTAAAATATAAATTTGGATTAATTGTCTCGGATAAATGAGATCCAATCAATAATCGATATAAACCGATAGATTTTGGGAAATAATCAATTAAAGTATTTAATGCAATAAATTGTTGATGATCAGCATAATTTAAAGCAATAAACAATAATGAATGAATACGTAAATGATCAATAAATTCTAGAATCTCTTGAATACAAGGTTGATATGTTTCATGATGAATAAGATGTAAATGAATTGATTCATCATTCATTGATGGATCAGATTGTAATTCATTTTTTATGATTAACTCAATACAATGAATATGAGCTAGATAAGTTAAGAAACGATCATGTATAGTTGAATACCAAAGATCATTATTTATTAAATGTTTATTATTTATTAATAAATTTAAACCATAATTTAAAACTAATTGAATAATTGAAAGTAATAAAGTATAATTTAAATTGGACGGTACAAATTTTGGCAGATAATTTAAACATTGTTTGATAATCCATAATGGATGAATTTTCTGAATTGGATCTAATGTTGAATGAAGAAATTGTTGAAAATTATTGATTTTCCAAAATTCATTACTTAATCTAATCCACATTTGTTTATAGACAATTTCATCATTCATCCTTTTATTGGATTTATTTAATTCTAAAGCTTTATGAAATTTACCTATACGTATATAATGATCAAATAATCCATGATATGTTGTTGATTTTAATCGGGTACATCGTATACAATGATGAAAAATCATAGTTTTAGATGAATGATGTACAATGTTAGATTCAGAATCTTCTTTTAAACAAGAAGATAACAGGACAACTTCAGAGAAACAAGATTGAGGATTAGATTGAACAGTAGAATGTGTAGCAAATACAGGAAATTTTGATAATTTTAAACTTTCAAGTTTTCTTGCTATTTTAGGATAAAATTCTGTGCCACATTTTTTTATATCTAACAAATCAATTGAACCATTTTCATGAAGAACACATAATTGAATAGTTTGATTTAATAATTCATCTGATTCTGAAGGTCTGCCCCACCAAGCTATTCGGAAAGGTCTACTATACATACTAGAAGCCTGATTCATTGGTGATAATGAGAGGTTGGGGCTACTTTGAGGATTGGCAATCAGAAGAAGCAATTCAAAAGATGGAATCAACCATACAGAATATGAACCTGACGAATGAAGGCTACCAAGCAATAATTGGTCGGATATATCTGAAGATGAAAAAATTGGAAGTGAAGTAGTACTGAAATTCGCCAAAGTCATAGAAGTGATTGCATCTGTGTTATCGCAAGTCAGGTAACTGTTGCGACGAAATAGGTTGCATAGTAAATGAACTGATGTGTCCTTCCATGCACTATATAAACTCATCAATCCACCAGGTATTACATCAGATGTTGAACTGGAGGAGGCTGGAATTAAATAAGGTGCCTTCTTGGACACATAATAACATGATAGTCCAAGTTTTCTATGCATTGATTTGGATACAGATACATTGACGTTTGGTAAACAAGATAAAACAAGCAAACTGGACGATGAGTCAAATACAGCTGACAATAAAGGAGGTGGTTTAGAAGCTTTGTAAGTACTGATAGAATAAATTCTCATCATCATACGAGCTGGGAAACTCTTCGCTTTCCAATCTAAATGCCACAAATCTACATGACCTCTGAAATGACCCACTAAAAGGTGAGATATATCAATGAAAGACAATAAAACAATGGGAAAGAGTGGTTTCTTGTAACCAAACGAATCGATCGACTGTGTAAAAGGAGATGGAATGAAAATCCGACTACGTCGAATATTTTGGTCCAAGTTAGGCCTCTCACTTTCATCAATTGATAGGTCAATTATATCAATGGAACCATTACTATAACCTATAGCGGTTATATAATACAGATTATCCAAAGTTGAATTTGAGCCATTGGCTGATAAATCGTACTCAAATGTTTCACTAGGTTTATACGATAAAAAAGTAACTATGCGCCACTGTGGACATGGGTCCACGTAACTTAGATACCACTTTCTTGTTATCCTGGTAGAATGATTTGTAACAATCTGATTGACATCTGACTCAACATATGTAGAGCTTATGTTAGGTGATTGAATAAGTTCAAATGGAGTGATATCATTTGATTGTTTCAAATCGTTTAATGACGAGGAATTAGAACTTTGAAGTCTATTTGGCAATTCCATTAACTCTAGCCAATGAGTGGCTACAAGACACAAAGCCTGACCTTGAACGGACTCAGATGAAAGATAACCTAATTGCCAAGGGCAATTATTTTCGCGTAAATGAGCGTAAGTGACTAAAACTTGGGAAGGTGGGAACCAAAAAGTCAGTACATCCGACAATTTTCTCCAGGTGTTATACAAAAGGTAATTTATCTTGGAAAGTGAGGATGAATCTGACTCTTTATTAGCTGGTAACTTGTCATCCGAAGACAGATTGAGTGAGGAGGGATGTACACTTGATAATGAAATATTTCGGCAACGTAACAAATCTACTGCAACAGAATAACTATTATCTGCCGACAGCTTGGAATCCAAATTAATGGACCATTCGGCTAATTCGTCAATAATGTGAGGATAATTCATGAGGTCAAGTTTATCAGATTTCATAATATCATCGGCTGCATCGGAAGTTCTGAAAACAAAAACAAAACTATTAGAATCAGATAAAATTAAGGTAAGCAAAGTCAAATATTAAATGGTTAGTTGTGTATTGATAACTTCATGGGATAAACTGGATTGAATTTTTATTTTCATATAAGTTACGGTTACGAAACGGTTTATCAAACATAAGAACTAGACGCCAAAAGTCGACTCTGCAAAAGTATGGTCATATCTGGAAGCCTAAAACGGTTAAATATTATAATCAAATCATAATCTGACTGGATGAGTTTTGGCTCAATTTGCCACACCCCAAATAGGTGGAAATATAAATATACACAATATCAACGCCCGCCGACTCTAATTCAACTTCAAAAGGCTATAGCTAATCTGAAACGAGGAAGAGCAGCTGGTCCCCATGAATTGGCTCCAGAGGTCTTTAAATATGGTGGTCGAGTTTTAGCGATTACATTGACCAATTCTTTAGCTAAAATCCGGGAACTTGACATAATCCCATCTGACTGGCCTAAATAACGGATCGTCACAATACATAAGAAAGGTCAACTAGACAGGAAACGGGGTAAGAGGAGATAAGGATAATGATAAGAGTAATAATTATTATTACTCTTATCATTACCCTTATCTCCTCTTACCCCGTTTCCTGTCTAGTTGACCTTTTATTTTTATATATAAATGCTCTTAACAAGTATATGTGTGACCAGATTGTTCGAAAGGTATTGCGCTAATATATCACATAGTTCTGATAATCTTCGTCTTCTAATATCATTATCGAAATTTATCAAAGGGACTAATTGTTTTAAATTACATAAGAAAGGATCAAAATTATCATTTGATGACCATAGGGGAAATAGTTTGACCAATATAGAGTCTAAAATAATCGCCTCAGTAATTATTGGACGTCTAACAAAGATACGTGAACTGCAAATGCGAAAAAATTAGGCTGATTTTAGACCTGGTCGTGGCTGCATCGACCACAAATTCACCATTCGTCAGATCTAAGAACACAGATATGCTTATCGATGTCCGACAATGATGGTCTCTCTTGACTTAACAGAAGCATTTGACTCTGTAGACCGAGAGGTTCTGTGGCAGTGTCTGTCATTTAAAGGTGTACCCTAGGACTACATAGACCTTGTGAAGGCCAGTCACTTGAACACTACTAATCGTATCAGAGCTTATGTAGAACTGTCATCTGATTTCGCAACCTCAAGTGGTGTCCGTCAAGGCTGTCCACTATCGCCATTTTTCGATCAATTTCATCATAGAGCTACTGATGGAAATATCGTTCTCGTCGACTGAATTTTCAGGAATTGATCTCTTACCAGGAGGTCCACTTATCGACTTAGAATACGTAGATGGTATATCCTGTTTGATGAGGACGCTGATAAAATGCAGTGTTTTTTAGTAGCAGTGAGCAACAATTGCAGGATGTTTGGGATGTGGTTCTCCACCTCTAAATGCAAGTTGTTGCTTCAGGACTGGTCTGCGTCAACACCTGAACTATGGTTAGGGAGTGAAGTAGTCGAACGCGTTGACAACTTCACTTATCTTGGAAGTTTGACCGGCCCTAATGGGTTGGTTTCCGACGAAATTTCAGTACGGATTCAGAAAGCTCGTTTGGCTTCTGCTAACTTACGTCACCTATGGTGAAGGCGAGATACCCATCTATCAATTAAGAGACGAGTATGCTGCACAGCAGTTCGCTCTGTTCTACTTTACAGCGGCGAAACGTGGCCATTAAGAGTAGAAGGTATTCATAAGCTACCAGCATTTGATCACAGATAACTTAGAAATATAGCTCGCAGGGTATTAGGGAATGATGATGATAAATCAGTTGGTAAGGTTATAAATCTTTATCGACTGGGATGGTTGGGCCACGTGTTACATATGCCTGAACAACGATTACCACGACGCGCAGTGCTGACTAGTGTTGGAGACAGTTTGAAGAAAGTTAGGGGCGGCCAAACCAAAAAGTGGCTTCAGTGCATGAAACCATTGACTTCTGGTATGAGCCATGTTGGTAGATGTGAACTACTTGGTTGGGGTCCGCGTGACAAGGCTCAGAATCGATCACAATGGTTTAGGTATATACACTTTTTGTCTTCCCTTAAACCGTGAGATTAAAATTACTTTATACCTTTCTTTCTACAAACTAATTCTTTCTCACTGTATCATATCCTTATATGAAATCCTTTTCTTTTACATATTACTACTATTGAAGTAACTGCTTCTGTGAATTCGGTGTTTATCTTGTTGTGCTAATGAGGTATGGCAACTTGAACCGATGCATATATGTGCCTGTTCCTACATTATAGCTGACTGACTGATTGATACATATTATCAACTGCGATAAAAAGTAGAACACGGGAAATATGGTTCAAACGAGTTATTATTATTTCAACACATAAATATCGGTACAAGAGGGCACCAAACATATATGCGCCACACCATATTTGTGTGTGTGCTGTGATACTGCCCGGGTGCCCAAACCGAAGCAGGTGGTTTTCTTAGGGGGCCACACCCCGAGCCTTTGACCTAAAAGTCTGATCCACAAGGCAGTGGAACATCGTGAGGAGATGCATTCCCATGGTAGCCGGTGACCAGCGATTGGTTCATACGCCATTTGTTCCTTTGGGATGCTAGAGCCCATGTGCACCATTGGTTTGGGATGCGTTAAAGCGCCGGACATTCGCTTTTCGTCCTCTCATTTTCGTAAACAACACCCCCGCCACGAGAAGGCAATGAGTAGGACTTCCCTGGCAGAGGCTGTATACGCGTGGCCGTGTGAGAGCATTTCGAGAGGGAGGGCGAACCCACCCCACTCTCGGCCATGCCAGGGCATTCGGGGGTAGATGAAAACGAAGAATAAAAGTATGGAATGGCAAAAAACTTGAGATTTAGTGAAAAATATACATGATAAACGCAACTGTGGTTAATTTCAGGTCGTCATTTAATAGCTGAAGTTTGTGAAAGCGTTGAGACCAAGAAAGGGAATATGGAGTTCATCTCTCCTGCAAAGTTCTTTTCGTTTAATTTGAGAAGACAGAATAGAAGTGAATAATAACTAGAATGCAGTCCGAAAGTACTTGCTATGCAATTCGAACTAAGGACAATGTCTACGTAGTAATCACATGAAAACTAGGTCACTAATGCTAAATGTAAGATTTTCCATAACCTTAATTATAATTGCCAGTATCTCAGTCTTTTACTTCTGAGCTTTATTCAGTCAGTCGCAATGTACAGCTTAGTATGTATGTGCATCAGTTGAAAATCCCATATCTCATCACCACAGAGAGATGAAATTATCATGCCAAATCTCAGAATGGTAGAGGTAGTAATGCGGTGTGTGATACTGATGTCCACAAATATTGGTATGTATCATCAATCGAAAGTGAAATACCTGGAGGCAGAAAGTTAAGAAGATCGAAGAACGAGAACAGAGAATGATTGGTGTGGAAACAAAAGAACAATATAGTGTGAGACGACTAATTGATATTTTGCAGAAAGGACAGTCAACTTTGAGACAATTGATTGACAGTTTGCAAATGAAACATTTAGTGTATGAGTCTCAGATTTCACTAAGATGTTCTGTAATTTTGCGTCCAAATACATACGATTGTTCTCACTTGTGATCTCGTTCATTACAGTAACAGTATCAGCGGTGTATATGTATTCAGTGCCCCTTTTGTACCAATACTTGTGTTCAAATAAATGAATAAAAACAAGTGGTAACAGAAAAAAATTACGCCTCGAATATGTGATTTAGAAAAAAAAGTTAAATTGGTAAAATGAAAACAAAAGGTTATGAGAAAATCAGAAGCTCAAAATTTGTGGCAAGACAAAGAATGTGTGCACCTACACCATTCCAAACAAATCCAAGTCATGTCGTTCAAACTCTCTAACTAGTGATTACGATAATCATGCGAACACTAACCAGGTAGTCTGCACCTATCAACATGGCTAAATCGAATAGTCAATGACTCCATGGACTGATGCCATATTTTGGTTTGGCTGAGCGTAGCATTGTTCCGGCATACTCCCGCATCGGACAACATAGTCTACCGAGGTAGGTGTTGGTTCGGCATAGGTAACACATGTCTAAAAGACCACAGTTGATGAAGATTTACAACCTCATCAATCGATTAGTCATCATTAACGAGTATAATATTCCTTACGTAAGGATTGCTTACTCGATGATCAGAAATACACGAATTAGGCTTCGAGTACTCCGATGATCGAATACTAGTAATCTACAGATATTTTCTAATTTTGATGGGTGTTTCACGTGAATAAAGTAGAACAGAGATAACCGATGTTGAAGAGAGAATTGGATCCCAAAAGTGCTTGTACTGTTGCTTAAGGTGATCAGAAGATTGCGATATGTCAGCTTTTTCATCAAACACAGCTACATTATCCAGGTCTCCTAAGTCAACAAATGAATCTCCTGGTAGATCAAACTCCTGAAAATTCAAATGATGAAAGTGCTATCTGTAAAAGCATTTATACGACAAAGTCAAGCATATAAATAAGGATAGAAATGGGTAAAGAGGAACACCCTGGAGAACATCACGTGAAGAAATTGCTATAAGTGCTGGCTTGACCAGTGATGTTTTTAGGCAAATATTACATAGTCCACCTTAGACTTCGATTTCGAATTCATAACATGGATTAATTCAACTTTAATATCTTGTCTGATGTAACACAAAGAAATAATCTTGAGTTCATAACTGTAAGGTGTCATGAAGTTATTACAAATGATCGTTTTCTCTAATACTGTTTTACAAAAATGTTCTCCATCCTCTTCAAGTATATTCACACACCTAACTTATGAATAGGAGAACGGTTGATCAGTGTTAACCCTCATATTTTTATCTCTTGTGATTACTTTATCTCCACATGTTAGATCAATTCATCCAAGACGTTTCCCATGCGTATTTCGTACACTGGTTTCGTTTTATTGATTAATACTATGGATTTAGGTCGTAAGCAGCTGAGAAGAATTCGCAAAATAAATCACTTCACGTTGTCCTGCCACGATATTTGTTTTTATTTAGGTTTATAAATGGGGAATTTTGTATAAGACCAGTGCAAGAAATCAAGATTAAATTTTTAGATCTCACTGAAGCTAAAATACTAGAACTTAAATCTAACAAACATTGGTAGATCGAAATGGTTTTAGTGCAACGGTTTTTAAAGAAAGTCGGCTAGGATTACTAAATAACATAATTTATGTGTCTATTGCAGTTCAGGTGTTGGAAAACAGATAAATCAATTTAACTCTCTAAAATCGTGACTTTTAGTATCTAGAGCAAAATGATGCTTTGAAAGCTGGACAGACTTCAAACCTGTTTTTGAGTTTGCAGACTAGGTCATCATATTTCGCTGAGCTCTTAAGTATGAGCACCCTCAACGACGCACAACTTCGTTTTACAGGAGCTATGTGAGTTAATTTATCTAGAGTGGGGTTACATTACAGAAACATGTAGAAAACATATTATAGCCCAAAGATCAACTGAATTTCAGATGGCCATTGACCTTTAAATCATGTTACCAATGATTGAAAAAGCTGTTTCAATACAAAATAACAAACAATAGTTTAAAACCATATCTCGAGAAAGTACAGCTGCATTTTAAATGTATGAAAAGTGCCTCAAATTCCGATACGTCCCACAAAAATGCGGCAAACATCCACTTATTTTTACCTTGAGTGAATACATTTTTAATCCTGCTCATCTATTAGCTCTTCAACGAAAAGAAAGCTCCAAGGTCGGTTTCAAAGTCGATTAATTTGGATATACTACTAAAATTAGCTTGATTTCGATTTGAATTCTTAGTGAAATAACATCTAAATACTAGTAGGTACTATGATACTGTGCCTATATGGCTTATATTTACAAAGTTCATCATACTGTACTCGAAAACCTCACTTTTCCATTTTGCCACAACGTAAATCTTCAAGAATTGCGCTTCAGTTCAAGGCCATTGTTCAAATGGTTCAAATGGTTGTGGACGGAATAGAAGAAGCTTTCGCTTAACAGGCTTCCATGTCTAGTAGCAGAGGATCACCAAATCCTCCAGGCAGGAACCTAGGTATGTTAACAATAAAAAAGGAAAAGAAATTGGTAAATCATAATGTGATGCTGTCCTTGGTCCTTAAGAATAGGTCAAGTTGCCTCTTGAAGGACTCCTGGGAAGTCGCTTGGACTAGCTCGGCCGGCAGCGAATTCCAGCTTTTGACAACTCTTAAGGAGTAGAAGTTGTGTCTACATTCCGTCTTGCTATGTTGTGTTTCCAGTTTCTGGGTGTTACACCTTAGGTTATTATTCGAACTAAGCTTAAGTAGGTGTTTAAGAGGATGTCCAGAAGTGTTAAGAATACTATAAGCCACTAATAAATCACCTCTAAGACGCCTATATTCTAGTGGGTAAAGGTCTAGTGAACGGAGGCGTTCTTCGTAAGGCTTAGATTTGAGTCCTCGAACTGATTTCGTGGGTAAAGGTCTAGTGAATGGAGGCGTTCTTCGTAAGGCTTAGATTTGAGTCCTCGAACTGATTTCGTGGCTCGCCGTTGGATACGCTCCAAAGTGACCTTGTCCTTTTGGAGTGAGGGGGGAGTACTATGTTTCCGTACTCTAAATGGGGACGGATGAAACTATTGAAGATTGTATGGAAAGTTCGTCCATCAAACTGTCCAAAAATGCGCTTCAACGTTACCAGTGCAAGGTTTGCTCGGAAGGTATTTTTGTCACAGTTAGCGTAAGACTTTAAGTCATGGGGCACCAGGACTCCTAAATCTTTTTCGACTTGAGATACTACTAGAGAGGAGTTTCCTACGTTGTAACTGTAGTTTGCGACATGTCGCAGATGGACTACTCTACACTTTGAAGTGTTAAAGGTAAGTCCGTTATCGTCTGCCCAACTTTGAAGTCGCGTCAGATCCTCCTGAAGTGCCTGTGTATCGTCTTGGTTGCGTATCTCTCTCCAAAGTTTCACGTCGTCAGCAAAAGGTAATAAGTCTGACGTTACCTGTTGAGGAAGATCGTTTGTGTAGATCAAGAAGTGAAGAGGCCATAGTACTGAGCCCTGGGGGACCCCACTAGGACATTCCATAACCTGAGATAAAGTGAAATTAGCCCTAACCTTAAAGTGTCGATTTTTTAGGTATGAAGTAAGCCAATCGATTAGAGGTGGTTTGATACCTAGTCGTTTGGGCTTATTGATAAGACACAAGTGGTTAACCTTATCAAAAGCTTTTGAGAAATCAAGGTAAATGACGTCAACCTTTCCCTTGCAATCGAGGATGCTTGTCCATCTGTCCACCGCAGTCAGCAGGTTGGTTATACAAGAGTAACCCTTCCTGAAACCATGCTGTTGGGGTGAGAAGAAATTTAAGGACAGTAGATAGTCGTTTAAACCATCGCATATCAGGGACTCCATGAGTTTTGATGGTAATGATAGAAGAGCCACCGGCCGATAACTTGAAGGTTCATTGCGTCGAACACCTTTGAAAATTGGTGTGATGTGAGCCAACTTCCAATTTTCCGGTAATTTATCGGCATATTATTAAATGCTTTGCTGAAGTCTATGTTGACAACATCGACTGATGTCCCATTATCTAGAGCCCCCGCCGGTGAGACCATAATTTACGAACGAAAGAAACAGATTTAAGAAAACAGGTCCCACGTTTTGGCTCAAAATTCATTTATCCATTTGGATGAAGAGCATTTTAACATTTTAAACGACGTCAGTTCGTGATAAAAACCCTAAATCCGATTCCTAACCCTAATCATGAACTGTAAATCATCGTCATTATTCTTCACACAGGTTTATAACCCTCATCTAGCCCTTTGTAAATAGTTGAGCATTCTCAAGGCCACTTTTGCATCGCTTAAATATCATCTGTAAATGATGGTCTCACCCCTCAGTCCGCTGCTCTCTTGTTATGGAGAGATTGGTAGCTTAACTAGAGTTTGGCACTGGAGTGACAATCACATCTTCCCAACCCGTAGGTGAATAACCTTGACTTGGTGACATACTGAATGTCGTAGCCAACTGGGCAGCAATACATTTTTTAGTTCATCCTATCCTGTTGATGTCTTTGTGTCTAAAGTAATAAAAGCTCTCAGGATGTAGCGGTAAATAAATCCCCAAAAGCAATAGCTCTCTAGGTTTTGGACATTGGATGCTGACCACATTAGTTTTAATGGACTAACCTAGCTGAAGGCGCTCTGTCATGCATCCGCACCAGATCACGAATGGGGACGCCGTGCTCAACATCCCCTGCATTCGCTAGCCAGATTACATCAGGCGATTCACGATACATTGATAACCTACCAAATATATCTTTGAACCTCCTCACTCCTGTCTTTCGATTTCACTTGGTGGGTACGATCCATATTAGAATGTGTTACTGGTTAAAGCGTTGTCAAACTCCGAATACATAAGGCATCCTCAGGTACATCGTCGAAAACGAGGCTCACAGTGATATGATGATTATGTTGCTTTTTATTTGAGTCTCGTTATTCATTTGGGAGAGGCTCCTAAGTCAAAACTGACCCGAAAGAGTTTGAAGCGATCTCTGCTTTGTCTTGATCTCCTACTATTTGAGATCCACCCCTCCCATAGTCATTTTCAGGATAAAATCTGTAAGTTTTTATTCTGCAACTTATGTACGAGAGAAGTTTCTTCGGCTGACGTTCACAGACATCGCAATACTCTAATAAGCATAGATTCACTGATTCTAGACTCTCTACATAAGGTTTAAATTTCACTCCCTCAAGTGATTTCGTGGCTCGCCTTTGAATACGTTCCAGCGTATTAACAACCTTTTGAAGGGAGTGACGAAGCACTTTATTCCCGTATTCCGAAAGGGAACCGAACAATACTGTTAAAGATTAAGTGTAAAGTTTTACAGTCAAAATTGCCAATGTGAGGTTTACTCGAAAGGCCCTTCTGTCAAGCTAGTGCAAGAATTTAGATCATAGGGTACCGAAACTCCCAACTCCTTTTGGACTTGGGATGCTTCTAGTGGGGAGTTACCCAAATTATATGCATAGTTTGCAGCATGTTTCAGAATGCATTCTTTTATGCTTAAGAATTAGCCCAAAAGTTGGCAAAAGACAATCCAGAATCTCACCTAAAATTTCTCCGTTTATGATTTGTTTGTGTGCCTAGAATTTTGCGGTCTTTGAGTAATCTAAAATGTGAAGTGAGGTTTTCTGTGTGTTATTTTTATATTAATGAATTGTAGGGTGGATCAGGAAGATGCGATACATTTGCATTAAATGTTTCACATAATCTAGTCGCCCGAATACTTGTCACGCCACTTTGTACAGGAACTGACAGAGTATGGTATTTCAAATTATTTGAATTTCAGTATGAACCAGGAGTCCCGGAAATAACGCAATTGAATCAAGAAATACTAGATAAGCACGAACGAATATATTGTATTTGGAATTCGAAACCGAGCATTCAAGAAGTACAAAAGAATCATTAGTTCATTCAAACACCACAAAGAGGTTAAATAAATAATGTTCAAGTATGAAAAAGTAGTGGATGTAAATGAAGAACAAATAATCAATCTTTAAAGGTAAGGATAAGAAGACTACATACCACTCTATGTCCTAAAGTGGCTTAAAAAAAAGTCAGGGCTAATTTAAAGTAAGGGCAACCTGAGTTCGCTGATAGCCACGACTTCTGACAATTAATATACAGCGTGTAAGAAGCTGCAACAATATCGATTTCAAGCCCTGTTTCGACCAAATGTTTTTCTACCAATAATCGTGGTTAGCTGATACTCTTCCTTTTTTGATTGTAGCGGTAAATGAGTCCGCAAAATAAATAGTCTAATAAGTCTTCGACATTGATATTGACCACATTATTTTACTGGACATAACCTAGGCGAAGTCTCTCAGTCACGAATCCTCACCAGGTAACCATTTGGTACGCCGTGCTACGCATCCCTCTTAACAACTATTTAGTTCACTTCCCACGCTTCTCAACATACTTACAGTAAAATCCTTTCGTAAAGTTTTCTTTCTGGAAATCTCTCCACGTACGCACTGTTGTCATTTATTCTTCTCGTATTTGGAATTCGTAATTAGCGGGCAATCAAGTACACAGAAATCCTTAGTTCGTACAGCAAATTATCAGAGCGATACAATTTCAGGTTGTGCGTGTGTAGAATCCAAACTAATTTTTGGGCTGAAGAACAACTGTCTGGGTAGTTTAGATATGCACTATTGCCCAGTTGAAACCAAGCGCACCAAATAAATGTTATTGCATTATCTCTGGATAGATCACGTAAAAATTCGTCCGAAAGATAAGATTTGTTTGCTTTATAACACAGAATGTTTTCAATTCTGGAAGAGTGTTTCAATTCACAATTAAAAATGCATGATTCTAGTTCATGCAAGCAACATAATCAAAAGGGGAGCAAATCAATATGGCTGCAGACAAGAATAAGTACCAATTAAAACAACATAAATGCAGTTCAGGAAGAAACATGGAAACTTAGTGAAGACGTAAGGAAAATAAGAGCGGTTATAAAATACAAATATTAACCTCTCAAATGGAATAAAAAAGATTGACAGAATGTAAAACTGAAGGAATCAATAGAAATAAATTACAAGTGTATACATGGAGGGATTTTCACACATAAAACCTTCAAAAAGAATCTTACAGTGTGAATAATTTGTTTATTCTATTGTAAGTTTGAATCAAACTGATAGAATAATTGTGGTTTGAAAATTATTGGCAATAAATTAATCGGTTTTCGAAAAAGTTGCTAATATGTAAGAATAAATACCAATAGGCTGCCAAAAAGTAATTATCGGGAGTTCTCCACTCTACCTCCTCTCAGTTGCAATCCAGGATCGGGGTGTAAATTTTGTTTTGCAGTACATAAGAAGTAGCGCCCATCAAAGCCAGTGTGGGTTCACATTGATCGCGGCAAAGT